TCTTTATGAGGCTATTGTCAGGGTCAGGTGACATAATTCTTGTAAATCACGGTGTCTGGCACATAGCAAGGAGTTCCTGGATGGCACAAATGGTTAAGCACTTGGCTACTAAAGATTGGAGGTTCGAACGCACACAGAAGAGTCTCAGAAGAAAGTCCTGGCGATCTACTTCTGAAAGGTCACAGTTTCGAAAACCTTGTGGAATGCAGTTATATACTCTGCAACATATGTAATCACCATGAGTCAGAATAGATTCTTGGCAACTTGAACTGGAAGCACATAGTAAATACATGCTAAATATTTGCTATAATTTTCTTTGACCTTGGTGATCATATTGTTTTAGTCATTCCTAGAAAAATAATTTTTTATTTGTAATCTGGTAGCTGCTGGAATGAAAATGGTGGAACTTTATTGGAACCCCTTTTCTGCTATTTTTCTGCCCCCTCCTAGCCTCTCCTTACAACCACATCCACTCTCACCCAGATCCTCTCTGCCTTCGTGGGGCAGAGACCTTTCTGAAGGGGCCGTGCCTCACTCCCTGTGTGTGGCAGGCCTGGGATCCCTACTGTGTTAGAACCTTTATGCCGTCTGACCAGGCTCAGATGGTATCTGATGTTGCCCTTGGTTCTCTGACTGACGTCTGTTTCTTGGAGGAACATTTTGAGAAGCTCTTCCCTCTTAAAGATAAGAATTCTTGATTGACCAAAAAAAAAAAAAAAATGTACTGTGGTACACTATGCTGATACATTTAAAATAACAAGAGGTAAAAAATATGTATTGAACCAATTGTTATGATAAGATACCTAAGAAATGCTATGTTAATTGGTTTGGTTACAACATGATAAGAGGAGGAGGAGAAGAATAAAAATAAGAATAAGAAACATAAGAAGAAGAAGGAAAAGTAATAATAAAGCTAAGGAGAAGGGTGATGTACTTACTTTAAAAAGCATTCTATTTAGGAGTTAGGAGACTTTAGTTCTACTTCTAGTCATTCAAGGCAAATAGCTAAGCCTTGGGTAAGTCAATGAACAGCAGTCAACTGTGGATTTCTATTTCTTCATTAGTAAATTTCCTTTTGCTCTAAAATTTGAGGATTCTATTTATCATTACTGCTCTGGTCAGCCCAGGAATCTCACACTGGACGAAAACGCACCCATATCACTAAAGAGTGGCACTATGTCACTCACTAGTTGATTAGAACCATGAACATGACTTGATGGGAGGATGGGTTGGGGTGGGAGGGGTTGGGAAATGTGGAAAATTAGGAGGTATGGAGAAGGAAAGGAGGAGAGTAACGAGGTCACTGACATTTTGTGAAATTAGTCCAGATTGAGTTATTCTGCCCCTCTAGTGGATGCAGAAAGCCTCTTTTGTGCATTTGTAGCTCCTCTATGTAATTTTCAATATTACTATTTCAGAGTACCTTTAGAGGCTTTCCGCATCCACTAGAGGGACAGAACTTTTCAGAAGAAAGGAAACCCTGGTGGCATTGTGGTGAACAGTTCGGCTGCTAGACATAAACGTTGGCAGTTCGAACCTACCAGGTGCTCCTTGGAAATCCTATGGGGCAATTCTACTCTGTCCTACAGGGTCTCTAGGAGTCGGAATCCACTCGACAGCAACAGGTTTGTTTGTTTGTTTTGTTTTGTTTTTCAGAAGAAAAATATTATGGGATAGAAAACACACCAAAATAAAATATTTCTAGTAACTGTTTTCAATAGAAGCCATCTCCATGTAGACTTCAGAGGATAAAAGGCTCCAAGGTCATAAACTTCAGGCAGATATCTTGTGTGTGTAGGGAATGAATGGGTGAAAGCAAACCCATCACCAAAGCATGGGGAAGGCCAATCAACTCACATGCTGTACGCTAGGAATAAACATTTTCCTTTGAAAAAATCAGTTGTCATGTACCTCTTTACCTCTTGATAATGCTCTGATGGAATTTTCATGCACAGAATCTACACTGTGTTGTTTTACGCTTTGTTCAGTATGCCTACCCCCTCTTCTGATATTGGGTTTTAATATTCCAGCAAAAAGAACTAATAAAAGACAGTTCCATAGCAACATCTGTATTCAAAGGAACAACAACAACAACAAAAGCTTAATAACACTTTACTTTCCTTATAGTTAATTCCTGCCTTTTGAGGGAAGTTGGCAAGGTGAAGGAAGAAAGGTACATACAGGTCATCTCTAGGAGAGGTGTACAGCTTCACTTGGGCTTTCCTTCCCATGCATAGCATCCTTGAATACAAGGGTAGGATGGTTAGCGCTGGCAGCTAACCTGCCTTTCTGAATGGCAGTAAACACAGACATTGAAATAATACCATACGCTGTTTGTAAATCTTCTGTTGGAGATGCCAGCTGCCAGGTAGAAGGAATACTGAACTGAAAGGCAAGGTTCTTAGAAATCCTCACACTACCTACCTGTGAACACTTGGGTGGGTCCTCTTCTCAGGGTGTTGTCTGTAACGGAAGGTTACTCTAGAAAAGATGACCTCAAAGGTCCTTCCCAACTCTAAACCACTACTGATCACTGTATCTGAATTGTTATTTAAAAAAATGTAATGGCATTTGCTTAGTCAACATTACAGTTTCTCTAATATTGTTGCTGCACTCCCAGGAAAGCATCACTTAGAAATTAAGCAACTGGCTTTCTTCCAGGGAAACGTGTTCCTGTGTCCTGCCTTCTCCAGACTTCCTGCCTGCACAAGGGATCCAGCCGGCCAGCGAGATGGAAGTGACCTGACCTACTCAGCAGTGGTTAAACTCTGCAAGACGGAAAACAGCTTGGTTAAGAGGAAGTGGTTTTCATTTTACTGACTGCAGAAAAGCAGAGTTTTTCAACTTTAAAGAGTGCAGCGAGTCATTTTAAGTACCTAGATCTATCACCCTGAAAGTCCCTGCACAGATACTCGACGGGGTATCTAAATATAGCAACAGCAAACTCCCCCCGCCCCCAGCCCGGGTCCCCGGGGCAGCTCTAGGATTGGAGAGCCCGCCCTAGGGCGCTCTCTGCATCTGCCTCGAATAGCAAGGCACTGAGCATTCTCTCTCGCACCTCCACAGTGCGTGGGTGTGAAGTGTATTAGGGGAACGCGAGAGTGACTCTGGGTATTGGTGCTTGGTGCACAGTCACATGGCACTGCTGCCAGCTGCACCGAGCGGCCAAGAGCTGTTGCCTGTATTGCTTGCCCAACAAGGTTGGAGGAAGGGAGGCAGGGAATCAGCGTCTTGCCAGTGGCCAGGAGCCGGTGAGAGGGCTTCACACAATAGCGACAACAATAAAAAAAAATAAAGCATTTAAATGGAACTACTACCTGAGGCAGAAAGCCAGAAAGTCACTGCTGCAGACGTGGGTGTGTGTACAGGAGTGAGTTGCGAGAATATCAATCTCGGAAGGGAGGATGCAAACTGCAATTAAGACTTTTGCCTTATTCTTGTCTCAGTTTTAGGTTACGGGAAGGAAAAAAGCAAGCAGAATCACCACCTCGCAACTATCTGCTATGGCTTTGTGGTGGAAGCTTAGGTCTCCCTTCAGTTTAACTTCACAATCGTTTTCTTTAATATTTTCGGGGACATGCATTCTGTTGGAAGAAGTTCCCAAGCCTGGCTTCCTTGCAGTTTCGTCACGCAGATTGGGATGTTTAACACAGTTATAATACACTGTTTCTGAAGGCCGCAGAGGCCGGAGCCAGAAGCACAGTGGCCTCCCTCTGGGTCAACGGTGAGAGCTCTGGGCCGCAAGTGGCTGAGGTGGAGGGACACCCAGACACAGTTGCTCCTCGCCACAAGTCTCTAACCTTGTAAGTTACAGCATACGGGGGTGGGGTGAGGACCACTAAGAAGCCCGCATCCAGGGCTCCCCACGCTCCTGTATTCTTCTAACACTGGGGCCGCCGCTGCCCCTGCCGAGACTTAGCAGTTTTATGACTTTTTCTCGGACTTACATGGAAATTTCTTGACGGAGGTAACTGGGTTCGTTCTCGGAGGCAGGGCTTCTCTGCCGACCTTGCGCCGCTGTCAAGCGGAGCTGGGGGGCAGCTCGCTCACAGCGGAGGAGCCACTTCGTAGTTTAACGCCCTCCCCATCATCCACCATCAGGCTGGGAAGGATATGCAATTACTCACGGGGCTTGCTGTCTGATACTGGGCTAGAAAGTCACAGCTTGCAGGCTGGAGTGAGCCACGGGGAGATGCCCGGTCCTCACCTCGCGGACTCAGCAGCCGCGTCCTGCGGCTCTGCACACTAAAGTGCCGAGGGCTCCCCGGCTGCGCGGGACCTGAGCGCCACTGCCGGCCGCATCGCCCTTGCGTCCGCTTGAGGACTGGCTGGTACCTAAAGGGCAGGGCAGGGCAGGGCAGGGCAGGGCTGTTCCCGCTCACACCCCTTGCGGAAGGATGGCAAGACCCGGAGCTGCGGCGTAGCGGCGGGAGAGCTCAGCAAGCTGCGTCTCCAGTTCCTCCTCGGGGCACCTGACTAACTTAACCTTCCAACAACCTCAAAGCCCCTAAGAGAACCTAACCAAACTCGCGCTTCTAATTGGGGCTTTGGAGCCCCGTCCCCTGCTGAGGGGTGGGGGAGGTGGGGCGAACGCAGTCCAGGCGTAGGGAGGGCGAGAAGAAAGGGGGAGCCTGGGGTTGGGTGTGCGCGCGTGGGAGCGCGCCTTGGAGCGCCCCGCTCTCCTCCTCTTAGCCCCGGGGCACTTCGGGGAGGAGGGAGAAGTAGTCTCAGGAATAAGAGGGAGCAAGAGAAAACCTCTCCAAGTGACTCCCCAAACAGGTCCGGATTTTGAATTCGAAGCTACAGGCTGCTAGAAATTGGGAGGCTTCTGCCTCCTCCGCACACCCCTTGCCCCCGCCCCGAGGCCCGGCGGTTTGCTGGCTGACTGCTTCCCCGCCCCCGGCTCGGGAGGTCGCGGGCTGGCGGGCGCCCCGTCGGCCGCTGGCTTCCTCTTCGCAACTCGCCGGCGCGCATGAGGCCGCAGCCCCCGCCGCAGGCGCTGGCTACCCCCTCGCGGTGACCGTGGTGATGCCATGCCCCGCCACCACGCGGGAGGAGAGGAGGGCGGCGCCGCTGGGCTCTGGGTGAAGAGCGGCGCGGCGGCGGCGGGCGGGGGGCGCCTGGGCAGCGGCATGAAGGATGTGGAGTCGGGCCGGGGCAGGGTGCTGCTGAACTCGGCGGCCGCCAGGGGCGACGGCCTGCTGCTGCTGGGCACCCGCGCGGCCGCACTCGGCGGCGGCAGCGGCGGCCTGAGAGAGAGCCGCCGGGGCAAGCAAGGGGCCCGGATGAGCCTGCTGGGGAAACCGCTCTCGTACACCAGTAGCCAGAGCTGCCGGCGCAACGTCAAGTACCGGCGGGTGCAGAACTATCTGTACAACGTGCTGGAGAGACCCCGAGGCTGGGCGTTCATCTACCACGCGTTCGTGTGAGTACCCGCGCCCCCCGCGAGCCCCCAGCCGCGCCCGCGCCGGCGGTGGGAGGGGGGTCGTGCGCCTGTCCCCACGGGGCGCGCTACGCTCCCTCGCCCGTCGCGTACACACACACACACACACCCACACACACCCGTACACACACCACACCACACACACACACACACACACACACACGCTCAGGCGCTCACACGTGGTGGCTTTTATTTCTTTGCACGTGTTTGTGATCTTCCTCCTAGAGCCTTCCGCCTCCCCTAGCCCCACCTCTCTGACCCTTACAACTTGAACCTTCGCCCCGAGGACACCCAGTGAGCTGTCTGGTAGCTCCCGGCACCGCGGGCGAGAGTCCAGCAGATGCAAGACTTAGGCGGCACGGATAACAGGGAGCGATTAGGTCCCAAGATACGTAAACTTCAACCGAGCTGGGCGCCCGGGAGCTGAGAAATGCAAAGGGAGGACGTGCCCCCTTGTGAGGCTTGTGAGAGTGTATTAGTGAGGTGGAGAGAGGAGAAATGGAGGGTTGTGTCCTCTGTCTTAGGGGTGGAGCTGGGGAAGCTATTACTTGGGGAGAGCTACTAGGTTTTTAGTGCGCCCGGAAACACGCCTCGTCACTAACCCAGCCACCACCAAACGGAAAATCTGTCAGTGCATATAACCCTTCCTGCCACACTACAGAAAAGGTGGCCAAGGTCTAGAAGAGGCGAGCAGGGCCGGGCGAGGCTATACGCCCGCGCTGTGGCCAGCGCTAGAGGGAAAACTGGGGCGATGGAGCGCGGGGCCCGAGGGGCTATAGCGGACTCGCAAATGGGCCGCCTCGGACAGAGTTCAGGCAGTGGGTTAAGTAGGCAATCGTGATGCTGAGTCAAAGTGTGTGAGTATAAGTAAGCCCTCGCCATCTAGCAGAGAGAGAATGTTTAATGAGAAAATGATTGGAAGCAAATGTTTATTTTTCCCTTAGGCATTAAAAACCTTTCAGTGGCTTTAAAGTTTACTACTGTTTTTCCCACAACGTCCATTTATGCAGTCTCCTGCTAGAGTTAGGTTTATCTGGACATTTTAAGGTTGTTTTTATGCCTTTATGCTCGAATTCTTTTTCTTTCTTTCTTCTCTTTGCTTTCTTTCTTCTTCTCCTCCTTCTCTCTCTCTTTTTTTGTTTCCGCTTCTTTATGTTAAAATGGAATGTAAAGGCATCAGCCTTAGGAGACCCGTAGAGAGTTGTAGGCACTCACTGATTTCATTACTTGTTTCTTAGTGAAATAGATTTTGGACACACAAACTAGGTTCGTTTTTGAAATGAAGTGTAACATCCAAACATAACTCCCACCACTGATAGCATCCACACCGAAAACATTTTTTGAAATAACATGGGAGAAGGGGCTGGTTTTGTAATAGGTGAACCTGGAATTTGACCATGTAGGAGTCAGGAAATTGGTGGAGTCTACAGTCGTGGGGCTCTGGTGTCTGGAAAATTTTACAGTCCCAGATTGATGTGAACATGTAGCATTAGGTAGAATATTTCAGCCAACTTTCCATTTTACAATGTATACAAGGAGAACGTTGTGTTACATCATTATTGCATCAAACGGCACTACTTTTATTATTAATTTAAGTAACATTCACATTGATTCAGATGTGGTTACTGTAATAAATGATAAACAGAGAAGGGCTGCTGATACTTTTCATGTTCATTCCACCTGAGTGGATATATAATTTATCTTATTAGGTAATGAACCTGATAAATTTTCAGCATCAGAATCTATTAAAAACTTAGCAATAATGGATCTGTGCTCAATTTGGGAGCAAGTATATACTGCAGAGATAATGCTCTTTTTTTCTACAGAAGTATGCTCAGAATATTCTATAGCTTTGAATTTACAGTATCATGTTTTTTAAGGCCTTTCATTTTTGGAAAACTATGCATTGTATATTCACAAAGTGTTAGAGAAAACTTTGGTTGGTCAGCATATCTTATATCTTTCTCATTGTTGTCTTTGAAAATGAATGAGGATTTCTTGCAATTTAACATTTTCTTTTCAAAATGTTAGTGTTTAAATAGGTTTCAATGACTAAAGAATTTTAAAATGTTGATAAATGAGTTTTCAAAAGGTTCAGATTTGTATAACTCTACTCTTCGGGCTTTATCAGTTTAGCAGCATCTTTAGTGCAATGTTGCTAATATGAAGTTTTGCATTATATGTTTCTAAAGTCTGAAACTGTAATGACTGAGCGATTAGATAGGGGTGCCAGATCCACATCAGCACAAAGAGGGAATGGATAGTATTATCTTCTGGGAGGGTTGTGTGTAGCTATAGCAGACCCTGGGGAAAGAGGCCATCTTTGGCAATTGCTGCTTATGATTTTAAATAGGTTTAGAATAGCTGGACTTTACACATTAAGTTAATAAAAGCAAAGTTGCCTTGAGCTATAGGTCTAACAAGCTCATGAATAATAAATAAATTATAAGCAAACAATTTCTAGAGAGGTATAACTAACTAATTCCTTGCCAGCCTGGGGATCCCCAAATCTTAGATTAATAACGGTTTTTGTAGCGCATTAAGGTTCTTGCCAAGAACAAGTGCACTGTGATTAATGAGGTACTTCAGGGATGGATTTACTTGGTTGACCAATATTTTCACTGCCAAGAAAAAAGAAAAGTATCTTTAAAATTATGTTTCATGTAAGAAAAAATTCTGTTCAGTATGAAAAAATCATTATTATAATGATATTTTAATGGTATAAATGTGGTTTCCAGAGTATATATCCTAGCCTACTGATGGGCTGGCAAGAGATGACCTACTTCACATATGTTCTTCCCATATGTATAAATTATTGGAAATTAGGAGAGTGTGACCATTATTGTTTTTCTTTAGGATTTACCAGACAGCCGTGTGTCCTTCTTTCAGCTGTCCTTCCGTTTACTAGATGAGCTCTTCAAATGTGAAGTGGCGTTTTTTTTTACTATGGCTTGTCCTTTTTTACTTTCTCTTCTTTTAAATAAATATTTTATAAGAATAGTGTTGGTAATAGAAGAACATATGACAGCGGTCCTTATACAAATTTGTATTGATGCAGCAAACATGATTCTGAGAAATTACACAGGAAACAGTGTTGTCAAGCCCAAGCCCACTGTCCTTGAGTCGATTCCAACTCTTAGCAACCCTGTAGGATGGAGTAGAATTGCCCTACAGGGTTTCCTAGGCTGTAATTTTTACCAAAGCAGACTGCCACATCTTTCTCCCATGGAATGGGTGATGGTTTTGAACTGCCAGCCTTTCTGGTTAGCAGCCGAATGCTTTAACCTGTGCACCGCCAAGGCTCCAACAGTGTTGCAGGTCCATGTAACTCGTCACTTTGTCTCCCGTATCTTTGCCTGCTTTAATGCTGTGGATCAGAAATTATAGATAATTTAAACTAGAGAAGTATTAGATTATCATTCTTCAATTTTTGATTTCTGAAAAATTACTTACTATTAAACAGAAAAATGCCACCCAAGCTATGAGCTAGAAGTCATCCTTGATGCCTTCGTTTTTCTCATACCTGCTCCTGCTGGCCATCCGAAAGGTCTTTAAATTGTTTGTTCACCTTCTAAATATTTCTCAAATCTATTCCCTCCTCTGCTTTCCTACTGCCATGATCCCACTCTGTTTCTCAATCTGTTGGATGGTTGGTAACATTTTCCTGCCTGATCATCTGATGTCTGTACTTAGCTTCCCAGCTCTCCAGTCTGACAGCATACTGTTTGTCCTAAAATGCAAGTCTTGTCATATCATTCCCTTGCCTAAAATCGTTCTATCACTCTCCATCATTCATTCATTCAGCTATCCATCATAGCCTACTCTGTGCTAATTCCCAAATTAATAAGGCAAAGGCCTCCACTCCAAGGAGTGAAAAAGACTTCAGCTTGGAATTACTACAAGTGTGTGAACAATTAAGTGTGAAACAATGTTTTAAGTACCATTACAGAGGTACTTACAAAGTCACATGGAAAAAGAGAAGGAAGTGGGGCAGATGAGGGCAGAGGGCTCAGCTAGGCTTCAGAGAGGAATGAGCTGAATTTTGACAGATCAGCTGTAAATTTTCAGGTGAGCAAAGCATGGAGGGATGATCGATCTTGATAAAGAAAACAGGTAGAGCAAAGATATGGAATTAGTACAGTAATTCTAGGTACTGTTAAGTATTTTCAGGATGAGGACAGCAGCAAGAAAAGAGAGTAGAGCAAAAAACAGGTACTTAACCTTGATAGCCTCAGGTGTTGACCATGGTGTCTGATCTTTATCCTGTAGGCAGTAGTGGTCATTAACTGGTGATAAGCAGGGGAATGACATAATCAGATATAAATTTTAGAAAGATCTTTCTTTTAGCAGTTCAGTAAATGGATGGAAGGGTGCAAAAATGGAATCAATATGGCCTGTTAGTAGGCAATTTTTCCATGAATTCATTCTACAAATGTTTCTTGACTATCCATTATGTGCCATGGACTGTTCTAGAAAGTTGAGAGATGGTTACCTAAGGAACTAAGACAGTAACTGTGGGGAAGAGAAAGAGAGGTTTAATTAGAGAAATGTTAAAGAAGTAGAACTGGCGTATAGTTTTCATGAGTCTGATGTGTAGAGTGAGGAAGATGATTCTAACTTGGGTAATTTGAGGAATGGAAGTGCCATTCACTAAGACATGGGCCAAAGGATGAGGAACAGTCTTTCAAAGCAATATAATGAGTTCATATTTGACCATATTCAGTTTCAGATACTTGTGAGTCATTTAGGTGGAAAGTGTAAGTGGTGGGAGCACAGCAGTAAACAAAACACACTCAGTCTGCTTCCATTGGGCCTTAGATCAGCAACCAGAGCCATTCCTGGCAGATAGCACTCAAAAAATCTTTTTTGATGAATGAATGCATTTACAAATCTGGAGCTTAATCTAGATATCTGAATCAGTGGCATCACTAGGAGGATGCGAGGGGTGCGGACCACACTGGGTGAAACTTTCAGAGGGGGTG